GACAAACACATCTTGTTGCTGGTGCATGGAGTGGGAAGTGCTGGTAAGACAGTGGTTTGGAGAGCAAGGGGAAGAAAGGGGCTCAGAGGGCTAGAGGACAATTCTAGGAAAGAGTGTGATTGACAGTGCTATTGGTAACAGAGAATCCTGCAGTGTATGGATTGTGAGAAGAGTTAGCCTAATGAGAGATTGACTGCATATGTAAAGGGCTGATGCGGGAGTAAGGAGTAAAACACGACCTGTTTGTCTCCTCTGAGTGCATTTCCTCTCTGAGTTAAATGTGCCCCCGCATACTGTCCTCCTGGCAAACTTAAGAGTGACTCATGAAACTGCGGATTCATTCTGGGTGGCAAATAGTGTGAACATTCTGAAGTTTGTGCTGCAGTACCTCTAATGACCTGCTAGATGGCACTGTTGTTCTGGCTCCATCTAGCTCTTCCCAGGCTTCTTACATGTCAGCTCTTTTCCTCTCAAAGTTCTTCTGAGCTTCAACAAGATGGACATATTAAATTTGTACGTGTTTTTTAAAATCTCCCCCACAACTGTTCATACAGCTCAACGTCTTTATTGATGAATTCCTTTGTTTACAGAGAGTTTACATTTTCTTGAAGTGTGTGTATGTGTTTCAATGAAGCGTTTGTTTCTAAGGCTCCAGATCAGGGGCCTCATTTATAAATGTTGCATACGCACATATGTGCGCGTCAGTTTTCACGCAAAAGTTGGCATTTATAAAAACTGAGCTAGACTTGAGAATGTGCTTATCCTCCTGCAAATGTCTTACTTGTCTTGGATGGTTTGAGCTGTCTGGCTGGTGTTAGTGAGCAAGGAAAGGCAGGAAGCAGAAGATCTACTGCATGGTTTATATTTTAAGGCTCTTGGAACAGGTATTTACAAAATATACAAATCATGCAACAAGATGCTTGACCAGGCTCAGAGTAAATAATAAACAGATTTTTTTCAAAACTAGTCAAATGAATATAAAGACTAAAGAGCAGTCTGACTAGCCCCTAGGGCTGAAAACAACCCTAACTAACCCCTGCCAAGCCAGGCGGTCATCTTCAACTAACATAAAGCTCTACACCTGAGCATATATACCCTGGCAGAGACCAGGTGACAGGAAACAGGAAGCACTTGTATTTGAATACACTTTGTCCAACTAAGGCAATAAACACTTAGCAAAGTAAACAACTCTACAATAACAGTTTAGATACTATAACCTGTACGATACAGAAATATATAGAACACTTTTAAAGAGCTGGACTAGAGCAGAAACTCTTTCCCCCCCAATTAGTAACATAGTGTCCCTTAATTAATGAGCAGACCTGCGCGCATGGTGACCAACCCCCTCCACATGCTACAAGACCGACCTCACACAAACCTTTGTAAGTACTGCTTTAGACTGGCAAATAGTACTGCTTTAGACTAGCAACATAACTAACTAACTTTGTGATTTACTTCTCATGTCTTCTGTAATATTTAATGTTTAGAAATGATTTATAATAGATCAAACACAGGTAACATAATCAACCAAAAATGTATATTGGGTGAGGTGACCAAGCAGTTATATCACTATGTATACTGTGAAATGTGACTAGTGAGGAAGCACAGAGTTAGCTTTCTCACAGGGAATGTATGATGACTTATTCATAAAAAAAAAAAAACAGATAGCTAAATGTCAAGATGCAATCATTGGCTGTTAGTGAGAAGAGCAAAAATCAATTAATTTGATATTTGCATTGTAAAATATTTAGAAATCTATTTCCGATTATTTATTTATATCCATGATCATTGCAAATTAAATTCCTGCCTGATGGTTTCATTCTCGCAAAATAGCTTATAGGCCTACAACAATTTAGGATAGGCTACCATTCGTCCCATCTTTAATTTAATTGGACCCACTTCACAGTAGTAAATACTGTAGAAAAGCTACCGGTATTTTGCCATATGCAATCTGATCCGAAGCGCAGTTTAACGGTAGAACAGACGGTTCACCTTTTCCATTAACGTTTGTAGGCTACGTCTGAATACTGTAATGTCAGATTTCTCGAGTAGCCTAGACAATATTTAATTTATAAACATAATGCATACACTATATACACAGAAGTATGTGGACACCCCTTCAAATTTGTGGATTTGTTCTATTTCAGCCAAACCCGTTGCTGACAGGTGTATAAAATCGAGCACACAGCCATGTAATTTCCATAGACAAACACTGGCAGTAGAATGGCCTTACTGAAGAGCTCAGTGACTTTCAACGTGGCACCATCATAGGATGCCGCCTTTCCAATCACTCAGTTCGTCAAATTTCTGCCCTGCTAGAGCTGCTCCGGTCAACTGTAAGTGCTGTTATTGTGAAGTGGAAACATCTAGGAGCAACAAAGGGAAAGGAAAGGGGGATACCCAATCAGTTGTACAACTGAATGCATTCAACTGAAATGTGTCTTCAGCGCCCGGGGAACAGTGGGTTAACTGCCTTGCTCAGGGGCAGAACGCCAGATTTTTACCTTGTCAGCCCTGGGATTCGATTGCCCAACAGCTCAGCCGCGAAGTGGTAGGCCACACAGGCTCACAGAACGGGACCGCCGAGTGCTGAAGCGCGTAGTGCGTAAAGATCATCTGTCCTCGTTTGCAACACTCACTACTGAGTTCCAAACTGCCTCTGGAAGCAACATCAGGCCAAGAACTGTTCGTCGGGAGCTTCATGAAATGGGTTTCCATGGCCGAGCAGCCGCACACAAGCCTAAGATCACCATGTGCAATGCCAAGCGTTGGCTGGAGTGGTGCAACACTCACCACCATTGGAATCTGGAGCGGTGGAAACGCATTCTCTGGAGTGATGAATAACACTTCACCATCTGGCAGTCCAACGAACAAATCTGGGTTTGGCTGATGCCTGGAGAACGCTACTTACCCCCAATGCATAGTGCCAACTGTAAAGTTTGGTGGCGGAGGAATAATGTTCTGGGGCTGTCTTAGTTACAGTGAGGGGAAATCTTAACGCTACAGCATACAATGACATTCTAGACGATTATGTGCTTCCAACTTGGTGGCAACCATTTGGGGAAGGCCCTTTCCTGTTTCAGCATGACAATGCCCCCGTGCACAATGCGAGGTCCATACAGAAATGGCTTGTCAAGATCAGTGTGGAAGCACAGAGCCCTGACCTCAACCCCATCAAACACCTTAGGGATGAATTGGAAAGCCGACTGCGAGCCTGGCCTAATCGCCCAACATCAGTGCCCAACCTCACTAATGCTCTTGTGGCTGAATGGAAGCAAGTCCCCACAGGAATGTTCCAACATCTAGCGCAAAGCCTTCCCAGAAGAGTGGAGGCCATTATAGCAACAACGGGGGAACCAACTCCATATTAATGCCCATAATTTTGGAATGAGATGTTCGACAAGCAGGTGTCCACATACTTTTGGTCATGTGGTGTATATCATAACCATTCCACCTTTTCTGCCCATGATGAGTTCATATTCCCAAAGTAGCCATACAACAAATTACCATGCATTTTACATTTAGGTTTTAGTCATTGAGCAGACGCTCTTATCCAGAGCGATTTACAGTTAGTGCATTCATCTTAAGATAGCTAGGTGGGACAACCACATATCACAGGGATAAAAAGTACATTTTCAGATGTTTTCGGAAGATGGGCAGGGACTCTGCTGTCCTAGCTTCAGAGGGAAGCTGGTTCCACCATTGGGATGCCAGGACAGAGAACTTGGACTTGGCTGGGCGGGAGCTGCTCTCCCATAGGGGTGGGAGGGCCAAGAGACGATGCACATCTCTCATTTAATTGGGCCTATTAGACTTATAATTTCAAGTTTTTGCTCTATGCATCCGAAAGGGAGCGCGGTTTATAACATACAGTATAATTTAACAGGTGAACAGACAGTTGATCTTTTGCATTGAAGTGTGTAGACTACCACTGTAAGTAGGCCTACTGTAGGTATCTTTTTTTTTCAGAGTAGACAATGTTCAATTGAAACGATCTGTTTACAGGTCCACAACAATTTGCAATTGTTTGTGTTTCAGAAATGGTTAGATAAAGCAAATGTCACTGCCCAAAATGTTTTACGTTCTGCCAACACCTCCAAAGACAGTTGATCAAGTTTGCCATTGATATTTCCTTTAGATACTGTCTTGGCCTAATTCCAATACTTCCAAAGTATACAGTAAATAAGGGTGTTATTGTCACCATAAAAGGTACATGATGGGCATTATTCAGGCTGAGTTTTAATGCTCGTTCACGCACGTGCAGTTTTACGACATTTCTGACTTCTAACGGGAAACGCCAAGTGTATCAATCTCAATATTTTTGTGCGTGCACAGTCTTTTTAGAAATAGTGCACGCAGGTATTTAGTGTAAAATGTAGCCATTGAAGAGGAGTGGGACAACATTCCACAGGCCACAATCAACAGCCTGCTCAACTCTATGTGAAGGAGATGTGTTGCTCTGCCTGAGGCAAATGGTGGTCACACCAGATACTGACTGGTTTGCTGATCCACGCCTCTACCTTTTTTTAAAGGTATCTGTGACCAACAGATGCGTATCTGTGTTCCCAGTCATGTGAAATCCATAGATTAGGGCCTAATTCATTTATTTCAATTGACTGATTTCCTTATATGAAGTGTAACTCAGTAGAATCTTTGAAATTGTTGCATGTTGCGTTTATATCTTTGTTCAGTGTAGAACTGGAAAGACAAAGCCGAGTTCGGTCTGAGGCAAGGGTCATTTTGACATGGTCTCTATTTTAATTGCTTAATCTGTCATCATCTCCCCTTCATATGCACTGATGGAAAAAATACTTGACAGATAAAAACAATATGGTGGACGCTCATCATTAGGCTGGCTTTCACCTGGTCAGTTCTTTCTGGTCAGAGTGATGAAGGAGAGGAGGCGAGGAGATGATGGATCTTTTTTTTAACAATACAATTAGAGCAATGGTTTGAGGTCTATTCTCCTGACCCTTGTCACTGTCTGGTCTCCAACACAGGTCCGGAGATCACAGATGAGCTGGTGAAGGTTTTGAGGAAGCGTCTGGATGAGACCACCCTGGACATCATCACCATCATGCTGGGCAGGAACTGCAAACTCACCCCTGCTGATGTGGAGGTAAATTATTTGGTGCATTAGTGTCACTCATTCTTTTGATGAATTATGATTTAGTGGAGGCAGAGATTTTAACTGAAACGTTTGGTTTGTTCTGTAGTGGAAAGGGGCTAAATATGCTGTTTTGGCTAGTTCAAATGTTGCGACTTCCGCCCCCAGAAGTAGAGTTGAGATTTGGTTCTGAATCTCTTGTGGAAAAGACTACGTAAAATGAGTTATGGATTTCAGAGATTACTTAGTATTTAGTAGGAATGGGAGAGACATTGATGTGTTGCTTAATTACGTGTTGATGTTCTCCCCTCAGTTTATCCAGCCGTCAGGCTCTCCAGCCACTGAGGTGATGGAGTTTACTCTGCCGCAGTGCTTCATGCCCTGGACCCTTGCTGTGGCCCACTACCTAAGGCAGAACCTGCTCATCTTCCTCCACATCCCCAAGTACACAGACAGCTACGTAGAACACCACTTCAAGGTAGGCTACACCACTAGTACACTACACTAGTACACTACACAAGTACACAGACAGCTACAGTACATCGATCACCACGTCAAGGTAGGCTACAGCCCAGCCTCACCCCGCATACAGACATTGGGGGCAAAATCTGCTTCTGCTTCTGCAAGTGAATGTCCCACCTATCCCCCTCTTACATTTGGAAGAATTTAAACCAATATAAACCGACCTCTGAATGCGGGGTAACATTACTCACACCACTAGTGCTGCCCAATTCAGATCTTTTTTCCACTCTCTTTTGACCAATCTAATCAGATCTTTTTCACATCAGATCTTTTTCAGAGCTGATCTAATTGGTCAAACGTTTTACAGCGATGTATTTGTCAGTTTTAAAGGATGATAGAAGAGGACCGTTCAAATTATGCAAGTGTGGTGTATACAGTTCCCTATGAAGGGGTGTAGGCTAGATGTATAAAAAGAGGAGTTTCATTTTTATGTATGAAATCAGCTCTCCCGAAAATGTGCTGACTTCCTTATTCGCTTTTGTTTTGTCGTCTGGGCTGATGATCTCTCTCTCTACTCTCTACTCTACTCTCACTCTCTCTTACTCTCTCTCTCTCTCTCTCCTTCCCCCCCTCTCTCAGCACTACTTCCATCAGAGCAATGAGCTACCTGACTCTGATATCTACCTCTACAATAAGCCTGGGGGCCAGGGGACTGGAGGGAAAGGTAATGACGTTATTTCTCTCAGCTCAGCTATCCCCGCACACACACCCTCCTCTCCCGCTCACTCCATCCCTGCACACTGTCTATCTCTCTCTCTCTTTCGCACACACACATGCACGCGTGCATACACACACGCGTATCCCATTGCAGTTGGCATAGCGCACCCTACATCTAATTCACCACCTGAGAGTGGGTTTCTCTATAATTAGGTAGCCTTTGCTTGTTTTCTCTAATAATTTATCTGCTGTATATCTCTCCTCTACTTGATGGATTTTGCTCTGCGGAGTCAGTTGTTGTTTTCCGTGTGTGTGTTTATAAGCTGCTGACTTCGAGGGAGTGATATCACGGGTTGTGCTGACAGCCTCTTTCCCTATTTATACCTCCCACCACACTAAATAAACGCACAGCAAATTAGCACAGCACTGCTTTGCCTTGCATAGTTAAAATGCACTAAGCTGACTTCTCCTGTTCTGCTAAGACACTTCTAGGATAGAATGTTCGTTTCTCTGATTAGTGCTACACTCGTTCTCCCAAGGTGACTGGAACATCAGACTCTCCAACTTCCGTATGCAGAGTGTGCTTTGGTGGTAACTTGCCAAAAATGAAACTAGACTGAATAATTACCTGTTTTGTTGTGTATTCCTCTGTTTGAGAATCAGATCATTTTTCTCTGGTGACAGCACATGCTATTGCCGTGCGCCTGGGTGTGATATGGCCTCCTATCAGTTATGATTAGCCTGTAGTAAGACAATTCTCTATCTATCCTGTTGATTATATAGTGTGTTGACAGCTATAATGATTAATACACGGTTCCTATATGATGCCCACTACCTTCCTGTCGTTATAAATAATGTTTCAAAACAAGAGGAACTTGATACTGGCTGATATCTCACTTAAACTGACCTCTCTCTGCAGTGTCATACTTAAGTACCAAGGCTGATGTTTATTCGAGGGGCTTTTTTTCTCCAAGTGCATCCCAAATGGCACCCTATTCCTCATATAGTACACTAGTTTTGACCAGAGCCCTATAGGCCTTGGTGCGCTATAAAGGGAATAGGATGCCATTTGGGACACAACCCAGGCTTTGCATTCATTTCCCATGCAGTCTCGCTACTTTTTAATTGGTGTGAAGGGAAGCTCTGACTTCATCTCATACATTTTAAGTATTGCACAACAAGGTGCTTAAATTATTTGATTTTACCTGATCCCTGCCTGGTGTGAGAATATATCTGGTGCAGACTGAAGGTTTAGTTTTGCACTGTTGTATTCCACTGCCAGCTTATTAAGAAACAGTTTTCTAATTTGCCACATTCATCTTATAGAAAAGTCACAGCCTAAAATACACATCTACTGTGCTTGAGTACTGTGGAAGGAACTTTAGTATGGGCTGCTGCTTCAGTGATTCCATCTCAGAGAGCTTATAGACATAGTTTTATTGCAGAATACAGACAGAGACATTTTCCTCTTACAAATAACTGTGCACGAAGGCCCTGCAACAAATAACTAATATAATAACTCATATATGTTATTATATGTGTGATAAAATAGTAGCAATATCCGTGTTTAAAGGAAGTAAAAGAGTGTAGTGCCAGGCTAGTGGAGGCCTAGCTCTGGTCCAGGGAGTTAGTACGGCTAGTTAACGCTGAGCCTTCTTTAAAGCCGCACTAACACCCTGAACCAGAGCTAGTGAAGGTCCAGCAGAGAGTTGCACAATTTTGGTAACTATCCCCAAATTTCCAGGTTTTCCAATAATCCTGGTTGGAAGATTTGCAGAATCCGTAGGGAATAAGCAGGAAATCCGAAACCCTCCGACCAGGATTTCTGGAAAACCTGTGAATTTTGGTAAAGTTAGTGGAAGCCTTTGCAACCCTAATTAGTGATGATCTTATGATGCTGTTCCACTAACTCCCCTCATTCCTTATCAGTTTGCAGTACTTTGTACACAGTTTGCAACATACCATACATTACCTTAGCAGCTGATGCACCATCTGGCCTTCAGAAAGGAGCTGATGAGAAACACCTCTCATATCATATCTGATGATAGTAGAAGGTCATGTATTGAGGGTATGTACAGTTGAAGTCGGAAGTTTACATACACTTAGGTTGGAGTCATTAAAACTCGTTTTTCCAACCGCTCCACAAATGTCTTGTTAACAAACTATAGTTTTGGCAAGTCGGTTAGGACATCTACTTTCTGCATGACAAAAGTAATTTTTCCAACAATTGTTTACAGACAGATTATTTCACTTATAATTCAATGTATCACAATTCCAGTGGGTAAGACATTTACATACACTAAGTTGCCTGTGCCTTTAAACAGCTTGGAAAATTCCAGAAAATGATGTCATGGCTTTAGAAGCTTCTGATAGGCTAATTGACATAATTTGAGTCAATTGGAGGTGTACCTGTGGATGTATTTCAAGGCCTACCTTCAAACTCAGTGCCTCTTTGCTTGACATCATGGAAAAATCAAAAGAAAACAGCCAAGACCTCAGAAAAAAAATTGTAGACCTCCACAAGTCTTGTTCATTCTTGGGAGCAATTTCCAAACGCCTGAAGGTACCACGTTCATCTGTACAAACAATAGTATGCAAGTATAAACACCAAGGGACCATGCAGCCGTCATACCGCTCAGGAAGGAGACGCATTCTGTCTCTTATAGATGAATGTACTTTGGTGCAAAAAGTGCAAATCAATCCCAGAACAACAGCAATGGTCCTTGTGAAGATGCTGGAGGAAACAGGTACAAAAGTATCTATATCTACAGTAAAACGAGTCCTATATCGACATAACCTGAAAGGCCGCTCAGCAAGGAAGAAGCCACTGCTCCAAAACCGCCATAAAAAAGCCAGACTACCGTTTGCAACTGCACATGGGGACCATGTACTACCAAATACTAATTGAGTGTATGTAAACTTCTGACCCACTGGGAATGTGATGAAAGAAATAAAAGCTGAAATAAATCATTCTAATAAAGTGGTGATCATAACTGACCTAAAACAGGGAATTCTTACTCGGATTAAATGTCAGAAATTGTGAAAAACTGATTTGAAATGTATTTGGCTAAGGTTTAGGGGTCCCGTGTAGCTCAGTTGGTAGAGCATGGCGCTTGCAACGCCAGGGTTGTGGGTTCGATTTCCACGGTGGGCCAGTATGATATTTTTTTTTTTTAAATAATAATGTATGCACTCACTAACTGTAAGTCGCTCTGGGTAAGAGCGTCTGCTGAATGACTAAAATGTTTATGTAAACTTCCGAACTTCCGACTTCAACTGTATGTCTGTCTGTCTGTTGACTCAGGTACCATGTCGGACCTCGTTCAGCACCTCTTCCCACCCTCTCAGTTCCAAGGTATCATGTTTTATGAACCCCTAGCAACCTTGGCTCTACTGGCCTGGCTGGCTGGGGGTGTTCTGCTCTTACCTCATTTTCCCTATGGCTTTATGTGGCAGTGCTTTACTCTTAAGGTTGATTGGCTCTTTGGAATTAAATTGGCTGTACTTCAACAGCAGTAGTCTTTACTGTGGAACGGATTGCTTATTTGAGTTGCCCTTTGCTCTCTGCATTACTTTTTAAGTGGCATGCAGAGTGACCTGACTGTTCTTTCTTTCCTTAATGTAGTCTGGAACATTCACAGCCTTTAAAGCTTCAATGTGTTCTTGACTGGCTTTGGTCTTGGTTATAAGGGCTTCTGCAGTCTATCAAGAGATGCTGCTCAATGAGAAATTGAATGGAAAATAATCAAGCATAGGAATATGTGTGCATTAGTTTAATAGCATCCAGCTATTAAACTAAATGGAATGTTTTTTCCAATTAGGCAATGATATTTACGTCTGATGAGATATAGGCTGGTTAAACACAGGGCTACTGCAGTGTACTCATTGATATTGAAATAATTCTGTTGAGTAGAATGAAATAATGGTATAGTCTTTTATTCACCATCTTTCCTATAGAAAGGTTATCTTTAGAACTGTAGAGCTCTTTTCGTTCCGAGAAAGGCTATGATATGTAGCCTAATGTTTGTCAAATGTAATATTTCAGTGTGTTCTTTTTAAAAATTTGAATTAAGGCTGAGACAGTTTGAAAATGTCACTTCGGTCCTGTCTTGTCTGACTAGTGGATGTCAGTGTGACTTCTTCAAAGACTGCGGAAAGGATCCATAGTCCAGACTAACCGTGATGTAATTGACTGAGTGATTGCCTGGCTCAGGGCCTACAGGATAACGGCATGGCCTTGTCTTGTAGCTAGAGCCCCATCAGCTCTAAATCCTGTTTTCTGGCTGCCACCACTATGGATGTGCTGTAGCAATCTGTTGCCTCATCGCCCTGGCTGACACAGGCAGCCATCACAGAACCTGGACAGCCTATCAGAGGCTGCATTCCAAATGGCACCGTATTCCTTATATAGTGCACTACTTTTGACCAGAGCCATAAGGTCCCTGGTCAAAAGTAGTGCACTAAATGGGGATTAGGGTACCATTTGGGACAAAGCCACTCACATTAAAGCCACCGTGGAGGGTCTGCTGAGCCCAAAAGGACTCCTGCTGCATTGTGGTGTTTGTGTGTACGTGTGCGACTCGCAGGTGACGGCCCAGTCAGTCCGTCAGACCTCATAAACCACCCTGCTAAAGTAGCCAAAGAAAAATGGATTGGAGTCTCTGCAAAACACAAATTGCAAACACATCAAGTCACTCGCGCCGACTGACCTGTTCAGTCATCAGAATACACAAGCACGTTGTAGTAGTAGTAGCCAAACCTTCTGGAGAGAAACAGTAACATTTATAAGTGGGCTTAGTGGTTTGAGAATGACATGTGGCTGCTTTGTTGACTAGCTGGCTGCAATAGGCAGATACACGCGCACGCACACAACATGCACACACAGGCACACACAGGCACAGGCAAGCGGTGTGGCATGACTGTCTGCAGTCAGTGTGAAGCCCAGTCCAGTGCAGCGTGTTGTAGAAGAGATGGCCGTGTGTGTGTTACTGATTTATTCCAGGTGATGAATGTAATGCATCTATGTCTCCCGCCAGCCTGCCAGGTACACCAGCCTAACAATCACTACTCCACGCATGCCTCTGCCCACTAATGGTGCAAGCTAATAGCCATAGCCGTATCAAACCAAACATGGGGTCCGGGCAGATTGGCGGTAATATTATTTAACGCAGGTGTCATGTATGGGTGAGGAATGCCTGTACGGTGCAGGTTTTATGAGGTGAATAGCTGAAGCAGGGTGATGGGGTGAGAATCAGAAGACAAGGCTGTCTGGGTTGGTGTTGGGATGGAACATCAACTGTGTTGTAGTAGAAAGGTCATGGTTTGTACATTTTATACTGTAGTTCCTCTGATGTTGATGCAGGAGAATATCAGACAAGAGTCAATGGAGAATCTCTGTAGTTTATAATGGCACACAAAGTCGTTGTTCTTTATTGCACTCCAAAACTGAACTTAATTGCACTTGAAAAATATGTTTAGAGTTTAGATACAAACAACATGCACAATAATCAAGGTTATTGTTAATGTAGAAAAAACACTATCCGGCTCGAAGGACCATTAAAAAGAGCACCACCTTTATTCATCCTCTAGTTAGTCTATCAGTGTATCTCTGGGTCACCCTGTCCTCCACATTTCACCTGTTCCCTTCAGGTATCGCCTGTATCGCCCTGTCGTTCGTTGATGCTCAAGGCTGCCCTCTTCAGGTTCCTGCCCAGGACTGCGCCACACCACCCAGAGGGGATGCATCCACCATCCTCCTACAGCCGGACCAGTTTGACGCCCTGACAACTGTCATCAAGGTGGACTCCAACAACCTCAGCTCAGGTAAAGCCTGGTAGGGTTTCTTTTAGAGATCAGGGTCCTGTATCGGAAAACAAAAATGAATGTTTCATATTGGACAGGTTCAGATAATACCTCTCCGTTTCGTTCCTGATGACCATGACAAGGCCAGAGTAGCCAGGACAACCTTTGGCGGAGTTGTTGCTGTGTCTCTTTCTTCTCAAAGAGTGTCATAAAATGTGTTTACTATTATGTGCTGCATTGTTTATTTGTATTAAGTGATTTTATGAAATATATTTTGCACTGGGGAAGTATTTGAGAATTGTAAAACTTCTTCATTTCACAAGAGATTAATTTATACGCAGAGCAATAAGTCATACATAATGTTCTCTCTCTGGAATGAAATGTCAAGTCACCTTGAATAGGACTGCTAAAGCTGTTTGCATAATGATGGTCATTGCACAAGGAGTTTTTATTCCCTCTTTCTGAGATACAGGGATTGTATTTTTCAATGTGACATTGAGTTAAATTGAATGAAATTATGAACTTTTTAGTTTTTGTTTAAAAAAACTCTAAAACATCATCCAACTAATTACGTGCATAAAAAATGTTTTATTCGCATATAGCTACCAACTTTAATTGGCAAATATGATTTATGCTTCCTAGTTTGTTTGAGAAAATGCAATTAGTTCTGAGAGTAAAAATAACCTCATGTGGTAATCTACTGCGTTGCCATGTGTTTGTGTAAGGTTATTCATTAGAGGCCTACTACCTGAGCTGTTTAAACTCTGCTGGGCTCTGCTCTACTGGCCTGTCTATTACACCATCATTAATCAGGTGTGCTCTGCACTAGCCTGGTCGCAGATGTGTGTGTGCTGTATAGCCAACTACTATGCTCATAGTCACAATGTGATGATTGCCAAGACAGCACCATTAGAATTGGGACCAGGCTAGTTCAATGACAATAGGAGCTGGCAAGACAGCACAAACAGACCTGGAACCAGGCTCTAGTAGTTCTGCTCATGCTCAGTGCAATTCTCATTAGTCAGTAATCTGTCCTTCCTTCTTCCTGACAGGGCCAGAGATGAGGGTGCGTTTTGACATCTGGGAGCAAGGTAACGTCTCCCCCCTCCAGCTGACTGACAAGCTGCGAGGAGCCCTGCGCCACGCCCTCTGTGATGTCATCATGGAACTCCGGGTCCTGCCGAATCCCCTGTGTCTGGAGACATTCTGCGCTACACCGGGGAGAGGGCGGAGAGAGGACTCAACTAACAGTGAGGAACTATAACTACCTTTAAAGTACCTGCGTGGCAATGCTGGGACGATCAACAGAAAATGATCGACACCGATCACTTATCACAGGCATTTTGCTGATATTGTTCATTGTGATAACTAGCCTATACTAGAGAAATGTGAAGGTTGAAATGAAAGTTTGCTAATATGGGTGATTGTTGATGGGACAATTGATGGCTACAACATCAAACTAGTAGTAGTAGTTTAAAGGATAATTTAAAATAAACTGGTGCAGATTGTTATAAACGTATCATATCGTTATCGCATCAATTCAGGCGATTTATCGCAATATGGATTGTTGTCCATATAACACACCTCTACTGATTAGTACACATTGTTGCCTTTGGCCTGCACAACAAATACACATGCTTTATTGGTCTTCTTGGAAAGTGAATTCAAATTGTTGTATAATTCAGTCTATGTTATCAATTCATGTTATCAGGTTCATCCCTTGTCTATCTCCACATCTTTTCTTTAGGTCTTTTAAGTCCTCCTCCATTGGAAGCAAAGGTGAATGAACTGGAGGTTAGGGAAGTGAAAGAAGTGAAGGAATTTAAGGACAGCTTCCGGCCTTGTAGTGGCTCTAGGAGGGTTAAGAACAGCCCCTCCCCTATCACCCTGATTCCTGCCCCCCCTGGGACCACCCCCAACACCGGACCAAGTACACCTGAGTCCACTACACCCACCGGCAAGACCACCCGCCGAAGCTTCTGGGAAATACTGGTGAGTGGAGTTCTCTTTCATTGGTTTTGTGACGTTTTTTAAGACAGGATTTTGTCCCAAATGGTACCCTATTCCCTAATGCACTACTTTTCTATTTCTGCTAGAGTGGCCAACAATAGTTTACTGTATAGGGAATAGTGCCATTTCACAATCTTTCATAAAACATTTTTGTGTGTCTCATCTGAGTTAGTTCTGTCAGTGATACATCCATCCGAGATCAATATTATATCTATAGTTGGATTATGAACCACCATGTTGCTGTTTTATTCAGTAGTAAAGAGTGGTGATGAAATTGTGATCCTCCCTATAGAGCAAGCCAGACTCATCTGAGCTGGGGAGCCCTAAGACGACAGACGACATTGTGCAGGAGAAGGGAGAGGAGGGTCGGACACGCAGGAGACACAAGACGGAGAACGTGAAGCAGCAGTGGAGCCAGGAGAAGGCCATGGCTGTAGAGCTGGAGCAGGCCCAGAGGTTAGCAGATACACACAACACAGGCTGGATTTAGATCTGGGTTCAAATAGTATCGCTTTTCTTCCAAATGCTTTTTATTTTATTTTCTGTCTGGTGTTACAGATGGGCAGAGTTAGAACTATTTCATTGGTTTCATTGTGACAGGCAAGCTCAATCAGGTACTTTTTCGTCAAGTAGACAGAAAATACCACTTGAACCTAGGTCTGGTCTCCACCGTTTAATGTGAGCGGATTCAATATCTCCTTAAGCCAAGGAGAAAGCACTGAGCTACACTCACCAGCCAGTTTATTAAGTACACCCAGTCGGGACCCCCCTTTGCCTCCAGAACAGCCTGAATTCTTCAGGGCATTCTACAAGGTGTAGGAAACGTTCCACAGGGATGTTGGTCCATGCTGACGCAATGTCATCACGCAGCTGCTGCAGATTGGACGGCGGTACATTCATGCTGCGAATAGCCCGTTCCATCTCATCCCAAAGATACTCTATTGGGTTGGGGTCTGGGGACTGCGCAGGCCACTCAAGTAAACTGAACTCGCTGTACCTAATAAGCTGTCCCGTGGAGTGTATGGAGAAAGGCAGGATCCATGATTGGCTGAGATAATGGAGGGGGATAAAAGAGAGTAATTTCTGGAGGACAATGCCATGCTGACTAATGCGTTTACATATGAATTCTTAAAGAGATGGGTGGGGCTACGGCTTAAGAGGGTGTGACTGATGCTGAATGGGCGTAAACAAAGAAGAGCTCTTTAGAAAGTGTGAAAATCATTCAAAGGCTTTTTCTCCTACTTGTCTCCAAAGGATAGGTTTATATAATAATAATAAAAAGCATGACTTTCCAATGCTTCCCCCAGCTGCAGTGTACACATACATGTATAGTGCATTCGGAAAGTATTCAGACCCCTTGACTTTTTCCACATTTTGTTATGTTACAGCCTTATTCTAAAATGGATTCAATTGTTATTTTTCCTCATCACAATACCCAATAATGACAAAGCGAAAATAGGTCTTTTGAATTTTTTGTAAATTTATAAAAAATAAAAAATGGAAATACCTTATTTACATACAATACATTCGGAAAGTATTCAGACCCCTTGACTTTTTCCACATTTTGTTACATTACAGCCTTATTCTAAAATGGATTTTTTCCCCTCATCAATCTACACACAATAGCCCATAATGTCAAAGCAAAAACAGGTTTTTAGAAATTGTTGCTAATTTATTAAAATAAATGAAATATTACATTTACAGACCCTTTACTCAGTAATTTGTTGAAGCACCTTTGGCAGCAATTGCAGCCTTGAGTCTTCTTGGATATGACGCTACAAGCTTGGCACACCTGTATTTGGGGAGTTTCTCTCATTCTTCTCTGCAGATCTTCTCAAGCTCTGTCAGGTTGGATGGGGAGCATCGCTGCACAGCTGTTTTCTGGTCTCTCCAGAGATGTTCGATCGGGTTCAATTCCGGGCTCTGGCTGGGCCACTCAAGGACATTCAGAGACTTGTCCCTAAGCCACTCCTGCGTTGTCTGGGCTGTGTGCTTAGGGTCGTTGTCCTGTTGGAAGGTGAACCTTCGCCCCAGTCTGAGGTCCTGAGTGCTCTGAAGCAGGTTTTCATCAAGGATCTCTCTGTACTTTGCTCCGTTCATCTTTCCCTCGATCCTGACTAGTCTCCCAGTCCCTGCCGCTGAAAAACATCCCCACCTCATGATGCTGCCAGGTTTCCTCCAGATGTGACGCTTGGCATTCAGGCCAAAGAGTTCAATCTTGGTTTTATCAGACCAGAGAATCTTGTTGAGAGTCCTTTAGGTGCCTTTTGGCAAACTCCAAGCAGGCTGTCATATACCTTTTACTGCTTCCGTCTGGCCACTACCATAAAGGCCTGATTGGTGGAGTGCTGCAGAGATGGTTGTCCTTCTGGAAGGTTCTCCCATCTCCACAGAGAAACTGTGGAGCTCTGTCAGAGTGACCATCGGGTTCTTGGTCAACTCCCTGACCAATGCCCTTCTCCTCCGATTGCTCAGTTTGGCCGGGCGGCCAGTTCTAGGAAGATACTTTTTTGGTACCCTTCCCCAGATCTGTGCCTCGACACAGATCTGTCTCGGAGCTCTCTATTTCGACCTCATGGCTTGGTTTTTGCTCTGACGTGCACTGTCAACTGTGGGACCTTATATAGACAGGTGTATGCCTTTCTAAATCATGTCCAATCAATTGAATTTACCACAGGTGGACTCCAATCAAATTGTAGAAACATCTCAAGGATGATCAATGGAAACAGGATGCACCTGAGCTCAATTTCGAGTCTCATAGCAACAAAAAAACGGTTTTTGCTTAGTCATTATGGGGTATTGTGTGTAGATTTATGAGGGAAAACATTTTTTTTGTCAATTTTAGAATAAGGCTGTGAGGTAACAAAATGTGTAAAAAGTCAAGGGGTCTGAATACTTTACGAATGCACTGTTTCTTCGGGACATAAGCTCACCTTCCTGAATTCAGTCACAAATATGGAGTTTCTGTCAGTAGTATTGCACTGTTTAATGGGTGTGTATGTTCCAACAGGAGACACGTGTCCCAGCTAGAGGAGGGTGACGTTGGGACCCTGCACCCTTTATACCAGGTCACCTGTCAGCCCTGGATCACCTTCATGGCTAAACTTGGTGAGTGTGTTTTCTTTTCTTTTCATGGCTGAGCTCCTCTGCCCTGTCATCTGCCCTCTCCTTTGCGCTCCCCTTTGCACTCCACTTACCCATCTCCTTATTTCTGCTGGAGTGGAGTGGAGAGGAGAGAGGAGAGGGGGTAATAGAAAATATTGGCTGCATCCCAAATTGCACTCTATTACCGCTATAAAACCCTTGATGGGCTCTAGTCAAAAGTAGTGCACTATACAGAGAATAGGGTGCTATTTGGGACGATACCATTGTCTCCTATCTATTTTCTGCGAGTGGCTTTCAATGTTAAGGTTAACTCTCATTTTCTCTAGTTCTTCTCCTTTTCTCTCATTCTTTCTCTGGTGTAAATAGGATGCCCGTCGATTCAGCAGTGCACAGCTGAGATTGCCTCCCAGTTCCTGCTTCCACCCATCCTGACAGAGATTGTCAATCTGGTCAGCTCCCTGGCCTGTGACACGGCAGTCAAGGTGTTTGAGAGGACAAGGTAGGTCATTTGAAATAATCAAGTCAATCATTGGAAAGACACAGTCACTGGAATTAATCAAGCATACAGATATGTGTACATTATTTTAATATCTTCCAGCTAGTTTGGAAAGAGTGTATATCAGGAAAGCATCTATATACATTTTTCTAAAATCATAAACACATTTTGTGCTTCATCTTTCAAGCTAGTGTTATAAGGATATTGTTTTGGTATAAAGTTACTTTATCATGGTTTTGTGTTTTTGTTTGGTCCCCTAGTTGTCTCCAAAGAGACATATTTGTTCCCCTGACTTTGATCCACCACCTCAGCCAACCACCTACCACCTCTAGAACCTTCATCCTCATTGGACGGAACTTCCACCAATGGCATTGCAGCACAGAGCAAGGTACCTGCATAAGCCAGAGTTCTATTATCCCTGTGCTTTGAAAGTAGTCACTGTTCACTGTTTGCTTAACCTAATGTGACAGGTGTAAAAAGACGCCTGAGCAGAGGTCCCACATCCGGTTTTCAGCGGAAGAGGAAGCTAGGTTGACTTAGCTTTATCCCTGGAAACCGGATGCATCCGGCTGTTAGCAATTCCGCTAAGGGTGCTGTTCACTTGACCCTTGATTTTATTGGCTTATTAGATTCATGGAGTTAAACATAATCATTGCCCTTTACTAGCATTTGATGCTCATTTTATACTTCAAATTATGCCTCATTTCCTTATTTAGTTTTGGGAAATAAAAAAATTATGAGGTACCTTTTTCCCCTCTGTAACTTTGGGATTCTGTGGTCAACCATGCTTTACTAACTGACTTTATGGAAGCACCAAATTGACAAATGAAAAAGTGAGAAATACAGTGCCTTGCAAAAGTTCATCCCCCTTGGCATTTTTCCTATTTTGTTGCATTACAACCTGTAATTTAAATGGATTTTTATTTGGATTTCATGTAATGGACATACACAAAATAGTCCAAACTGGTGAAGTGAAATGAAAAAAATAACTTGTTTCAAAAAATTATACAAAATAAATAACAGAAAAGTGGTGCGTGCATATGTATTCACACCCTTTGCTATGAAGCCCCTAAATAAGATCTGGTGCAACCAATTACCTTCAGAAGTCACATAATTAGTTAAATAAAGTCCATCTGTGTGCAGTCTAAGAGTCACATGATCTGTCACATGATCTCAGTATATATACAGCTGTTCTGAAAGGCCCCAGAGTCTGCAACACCACTATGCAAGGGGCACCACCAAGCATGCGGCACCATGAAGACCAAGGAGCTCTCCAAACTGGTCAGGGACAAAGTTGTGAAGAAGTACAGATCAGGGTTGGGTTATAAAAAAATATCTGAAACTTTGAACGTCCCATGGAGCACCATTAAATCCATTATTAAAAAATTGAAAGAATATGGCACCACAACAAATCTGCCAACTCACGGACCAGGCAAGGAGGGCATTAATCAGAGAGGCAACAAAGACACCAAAGATAACTCTGAAGGAGCTGCAAAGCTCCACAGTGGAGATTGGAGTATCTGTCCATAGGACCACTTTAAGCCGTACACTCCACAGAGCTGGGCTTTACGGAAGAGTGGCCAGAAAAAAGCCATTGCTTAAAGCCATGTGGGAGACTCCCCAAACATATTGAAGAAGGTACTCTGGTCAGATGAGACTAAAATTGAGCTTTTTGGCCATCAAGGACAACGCTATGTCTGGAGCAAACCCAACACCTCTCATCACCCCGAGAACACCATCCCCACGGTGAAGCATGGTGGTGGCAGCATCATGCTGTGGGGATGTTTTCCATCGGCAGGGACTGGAAAACTGGTCAGAATTGAAGGAATGATGGATGGCGCTAAATACATGGAACTTCTTGAGGGAAACCTGTTTCAGTCTTCCAGTGATTTGAGACTGGGACAGAGGTTCACCTTCCAGCAGGACAATTACCCTAAGCATACTGCTAAAGCAACACTTGAGTGGTTTAAGGGGAAACATGTAAATGTCTTGGAATGGCCTAGTCAAAGCCCAGACATCAATCCAATTGCGAATATGTGGTATAACTCAAAGATTGATGTACACCAGCGGAACCCATCCAACTTGAAGGAGCTGGAGCAGTTTTGCCTTGATGAATGGGCAAAAATCCCAGTGGCTAGGTGTGCCAAGCTTATAGAGACATACCCCAAAAGACTTGCAGCTGTAATTGCTGCAAAAGGTGGCTCTACAAAGTATTGACTTTGGGGGTTGAATAGTTATGCACGCTCAAGTTTTCTGTTTTTTTGTCTTATTTCTTGTTTGTTTCACAATAAAAAAATATTTTGCATCTTCAAAGTGGTAGGCATGTTGTGTAAATCAAATGACATAAACCCCCCAAAAATCCATTTTAATTCCAGGTTGTAAGGCAACAAAATAGGAAAAATGCCAAGGGGGCTGAATACTTTCGCAAGCCACTGTACTACATTAGCTTATAGTGAGAGATATTATTATGATGCTCAGCCACCCAGCTAGCAGGCAGACCATAGCAGAACTGGGCACAAACCCAAATACTCTATCCTAACCCAACCTGGAACATTTGCAGCTAACTGACTTCCAAATTACTCATTGCATCAAATCTGTTAGATAGATTCTCTCACTTCAAAAACAACACTGCATTTCAATGGCATGTTACTATTAACTATTACTAATTATCAACTGTAGATGAGTGTAGAAGACTAAGTGCATGATATACATAAAGGTATTATTTCTAAGCTTACTGTGACATGACGTGCTCTGTCTGCTACTGCGCTTGGGTTCTGTTCTCTCTCCTCTGTCCCTCTCTGACAATCAAAGCAACATTTTTAAAAACTGTTACTGTTATTTCTTCTTTCTTTTGCAAGCATCTCTGTGTCTGTCTGTCTAGTGTTAGCTGAGTGTCTCTGTGTAGCTACTGTAAACCTGTCTGTTGTCAGTGCCTGCACCCTGCCAATATCATGCTGTTTTGTTTGTGCTCATCTCCGTTTGCCCACAGAAGACAGTTCAGATGATGAAAACACCCCTGAGATTAGTAGGTTCACACGTAAGTCTGACTTTGCCCCCTCCTCATAGTAGGTTCACATGTAAGTTTACCTCCAGCCAGCCCCAACCAAGCAACGCTGGCTCTGGGCTATTCTGGTTTCATTTATATATTTCTTAATTCATACAATTTTCTAAGCCATTATTAGCTGTTCTATTTACCTATTAAGCCTAAAAGAATGTGTCCAAAAAAAACAGAATCTCTGCTGCATAGATAGGTATTTTTTGGAATGTAAAGCTTTGTACTGAATGCTTCACTGAATGCATGGCGTGAGCTGTGCATCATATACTCATGTTGCTTATGTAGCTTAATACGGATGACCTTATACCTGTGGAATATGAAGAGTTCACACAGTTTCCTCTGTGCCGTCTCCCTCAAACTTGATATTTCAATTCCAAATGTCCAATCAAATCTCACAATTTTTACTCTCAAGCTAAACTCTCTGGCTGTCTGGCAAAATAATAGTCCATTTCCTAGAAAGGAAAGGTTTCTTTCTTCTTCTTCTCCGCAGCAGAGTAGCAGAGTAGCCCCTTGCACGCCTCTCAAAGGATGGATCTGTGAATAATTGTATGCAACCGGCCCTGGGGGCTTAGAAAACCCTGCTGAGACATTCTCTGTCTGATAGGACATAATGAGAACCGTTTATTATTTAATCTTAATAGCATCATATTCAGAAATCACTTTCCCACCATAAGGTGACTGACTGTCTGTTTAATCATATACTTGATGGTAAATAAGAGATGAAAGATTCTCAGTCTGTGACATTAAGGTCCCCTTGTTAAATTGATTGTCAACCTGAGTCTATTCTACTGTACCGTCCTTATCTTAGAGACTGTGCCAGAGTCTGGTTCAGCTCAGGTTCTCTCCTGTCTGTCCTCTGTCTGCTGTGTCAGGTTGGGGTCGATTCCATTACAATTCAGTCAATCCAGGAACTAAACTAAAAGTCCAATTCCAATGTGCCTCATTGCTTGTCAATAAAGACAAAATGGAATTGGAATTTCAGTTTACTTTCAGTATTGACTGAAATAAATGGTATTGACCCCAAACCTGGTCTGCATCCTTCCCCTGTGTCCCACTCTCACTGTCTTCTCTCTCCCTATTGGTCCAGCTCATAAGGGCTTCCAGCGCTTCGAGGCCTTGGAGCAGTCTGATTGGTTCAGCCCAGGGCAGGCCTCGAGGGGTGTGGCCCCAAGACAGAGGTTCCTCCTCATACACATCCTGGATAAGAAGGTGAGTAGGTATGGGAGTGAGTTGTTGGTGGGTGTGGGTATGTATGCACAATTTGGCCCATTTATTTCTACCCATAGGCTATGTGACGTGGGTTGATCTCAATCTCAATGTTGATCTAAGTCTCTCCCGCCCTCTCTCCCCCTCTCCCTCCCTCTTCAGGTGACCCTGTACACCTATAACTGGTCAGTGGACCTTGGTGTGTCTCTGAACCGGGGACTGGTCAGGCTGGTCCAGTGGCAGAACGCCAGGTCCCACGTTATCCACTGTCTCCTCAATCAGAAGATGGGCCTCTTCCACCACTACTGCTTCTCTGACACACCGGCCCACGAAGACCTCAATAAGGTAAACGTTTCTCAGAATCAGAATCACCTTTACTCGCCAAGTACATTTACTGTACCATGAATTTGAACTGGGGAAGTGGTGCTGACATCGCCTTACAACACTGTCAATCTCACACAGATCCATCATTCTTACTGTAACCACAGCCTAACACTCAAACACACACCAACGCTTTCACTGAGCTACTGTATCTAAATCAGACACACCTGCCCACGAAGACCTGATCAGGTAAACGCTCAATCTCACGCACGGCACAGCCATCTGCTTTAATTCATCACAGTCTTACACCCTTTCATACACTGTGGCCTGTAAGTATTAAACATTTACCCACACACACTATACAGATGGTACGATGTTAGGATTGGGAACAATGTCCTGGTGGTTTAAATGGGGGGTTCAGTCAGGTGGAATCAGTCAGTTGGGTAGTGTAACTGCAGTGTCTGGTGGTACAGGACAGGCCACCCCCGAGGCAGGTTACACACAGCTGTCAACTCCTGAGTGTGGGACTGAGATTCCTTTCACACTAGTAGGTACCTGCTCGTACCGTACACACACATACACGCACTGCCCTCTTTCACTCTAGTGGGTAGGATACCTGTTCATTGCTTTCTTTTATGTCCCCCTCTCACGCTCTCCTCTGCTTTCTTGCTTCTCTTCTTAGCAAAAGCTGGGAGGGTGTCTTGTCACTAAATCCCCTCCTACATCTCTATTCCTATCTGAGTTTTAAACAGTGGTAGTTTTAATATTCATATTGCACTTCTTTTGATCAGAGCTCTATGGGCCCTGGTCAAAAGTAGTGCACTAAATATGGAATAGGGTGCCATTTGGGACACACACTTAGTCTGTTTATTGTACTTAGTAGATTCTCCTTGGTCTTTAATACAGAACATCAATATGACCTAGTTTTTTCCCTCTCTTTGATCATCCCTCTTCCTCCCTACCTGGGTATGACATGTCAGCACCAAGGCCTCCATTCCTCATTCCTTCTGTTCCTCTTTTTCACCTTTTCAGTCAACATCCCCGTCAGCATCCTTGTATCTCTGACTCCTTTTGATATGCGTGAGGAAAGGAGCGGAGAGAATGTCTTGTGTCCCAAATGGCACCCTATTCCCTATGTAGTGCACTGCTTTTGGCCAGGGCACATAGTGCTCTGTAGGGGATGTGGTGCCATTTGGGACATCGCTAATAGAATCACTCAGCTCTCTGACTTCACAGCCCTGTGTTTTTAGTTCCGTAGCTCCGGGGGTCAAAAACAAAGAATGCCTATCATTTCTGAGCAGTCTGCATGAATGCCCGTATACGAGACGAAAGAAAGGCGAGAGGTATTTTTAGGGCTTTTAGGGCAAAAATAATATTCTGTATTTTATCTGTCATAGAAACTGTTTTGCTCTGCCGCTTTTCTTTTTACTGGGAACATAAGACGATACACTTATAGCATTTTGTTTTACAACAGTGTTTTGGGGATCATATGGTAGAAACATCCTTCCAACTGCACGACAACCAATTACAGTGCAAAAAAGTCAAATCAAAAGAAAGGAAATCTCCCAAACTTTCTTCTATTTCTTTCTATATGCCCTCACTCTTAATCGCATCTCCACTAACGAATGCTGACAGAAGGCAGAGTCAGAGCGACAGAAAATTTGCCCGCGCAGACCGTCATCTGTCACTGTCCTGATGAGGAGCACAGTGGGCACCAGTGTCCAGTTCATCCCCCCCTCGCCCCCCGGGCACGAGACAGACACTGGCCAAAGGGTTCTGCCACACTGGGGCATCTGGGCCCTCCCCTTCCTCATCCGTTGCCTTGGTCCTGCCCAGCAGCCATTAAGCTGCTCCGTTGAGCTAAGTTGCTCAAAAGTTCCCCTGAGCAGAGGGGAGAGTGGAGGAGAGAGTGGGGAGGGGGGGATGCGGACATATTAGCTGTGCAGTGTCAGTCGGGACATGCTGTCCATGAGTCTCTGTGCCATCTCTAAAGCTTCACCAACTAGGCTCTATCCTAGTTTTGTTAGGCCTTTCAAGTAGATCATGGTTTCAGCCCTACCAGAGTTGGTCTGTAACAGATACTGTACTTTATAAAGGGATAGGTTTCTACCGTTAGGTTGATCTAATATGAGTGTGTACAACTTGTGTTATTTTTTTTATTTCACCTTTATTTAACCAGGTAAGCCAGTTGAGAACAAGTTCTCATTTACAACTGCGACCTGGCCAAGATAAAGCAAAGCAGTGCGATAAAAACAACAACACAAAGTTACATATGGGGTAAAACAAAACATAAAGTCAAAAATACAACAGAAAATATATATACAGTGTGTGCGAATGTAGTACGTTATGGAGGTAAGGCAATAAATAGGCCATAGTGCCAAATAGTTACAATTTCGTATTAACACTGGAATGATAGATGTGGAAAAGATGATGTGCAAATAGAGATACTGGGGTGCAAATGAGCAAAATAAATAACAATATGGGGATGAGGTAGTTGGGTGGGCTAATTACAGATGGGCTGTGTACAGGTGCAGTGATCGGTAAGCTGCTCTGACAACTGACGCTTAAAGTTAGTGAGGGAGATAAGAGTCTCCAGCTTCAGAGATTTTTGCAGTTCGTTCCAGTCATTGGCAGCAGAGAACTGGAAGGAATGGCGGCCAAAAGAGGTGTTGGCTTTGGGGATGACCAGTGAGATATACCTGCTGGAGCGCATACTACGGGTGGGTGTTGCTATGGTGACCAATGAGCTACGATAAGACTGGGATTTGCCTAGCAGTGACTTATAGATGACCTGGAGCCAGTGGGTTTGGCGACGAATATGTAGTGAGGGCCAGCCAACAAGAGCGTACAGGTCACAATGGTGGGTAGTATATGGGGCTTTGGTGACAAAACGGATGGCACTGTGATAGACTACATCCAATTTGCTGAGTAGAGTGTTGGAGGCTATTTTGTAAATGACATCGCCGAAGTCAAGGACCGGTAGGATAGTCAGTTTGACGAGGGCATGTTTGGCAGCATGAGTGAAGGAGGCTTTGTTGCGAAATAGGAAGCCGATTCTAGATCTAACTTTTGATTGGAGATGCTTAATGTGAGTCTGGAAGGAGAGTTTACACTCTAACCAGACACCTAGGTATTTGTAGTTGTCCACATACTCTAGGTCAGACCCGTCGAGAGTAGTGATTCTAGTCGGGTGGGCGGGTGCAAGCAGCGTTCGGTTGAAGAGCATGCATTTAGTTTTACTAGTGTTTAAGAGCAGTTGGAGGCTACGGAAGGAGTGTTGTATGGCGTTGAAGCTTGTTTGGAGGTTTGTTAACAGTGTCCAATGAAGGGCCAGATGTATACAAAGTGGTGTCGTCCGCATAGAGGTGGATCCGAGCTTCACCAGCAGCAAGAGCACCATCATTGATATACACAGAGAATAGAGTCGGCCCGAGAATTGAAGTGTTCATGTGTATTTAATAAAAAAATCAATGTCATGGCATGTTCATATACCAGAAAGTTACTTGTTCAATAACTTGGAGAAAAACTCACAGCTTCTACGCCCCCCTTGCACTCACTCCATCGCTCTCATTCTGCCTCTCATCTTCTTTCTCTCTCTCCATCTCTCGCTCCCCCTCTATTCTCCTCTTTTTTTGCACTATTTCTCTCTGCTTCTCGCTCCCTCTTCATCTCTCTCGCTCGCTCCCTCTTCATCTTCTACTTTCTCTCACTTCCTTGCCATCTCTCCATCTCTCTCCATCTCTGTCCATCTATCTCTCTCCATCTCTCTCATTCTCCCGCCTATCTTCTACTTTCTCTCTTGCTCCCCCTCTCATCATCTCCTGCTTCCTCTCTCTCCCTCTCTTTGTCTCTCAATCTCTCTCTCCCTCACTCATCTTCTTCTCTTCTCTTCTCTTCAGGAGCCCAACCCGTTCCTGAACCCTACCATGGAGGCTGATGCCCTGCTGAGGAGCCCAGTGCCGCCCGTACCCAGCAAGGACCAGGGCAGGCTGGCTAGCTCCATCCGCTCCCTGGCACCCCTCCACTTCCCCTCAGAGCTGGTGCCCTTTGACGAGGCCCTCAGGGACATCGGGACGGGCCGCCCCCTGGCCAGCGCTCAGGACGGGGCCGATGTGGTGGCTCGGCACGGGGCCCAGCTACTAGAGGTCAAGGCTGCAGAGAGGAGAGGTCAGATATGGACCCAATGATGTGTATAAACACTCCTCACCCACCTTCAATATATAACTAGTACATACTGTACTATCTACTTTCCTACAGTTTAATTAATGCAATATTACTCAGGTTGAGAATGAAGTGGATCTTTAAAGCAATGCTTTTATAACACACCCAATGTTAATGTGTTGTAAAAGGTTGAGGGGGGGGGGGGGGGTTAGAGTACAGGATGCTCTAGTAATGTTTGTTTGATACAATGTGAGCCACACCAGTCCATCCAGCAGCAACAAAGATGAAGTAGCCAGCTATGCTGGTTGAGGAGATGGCGATAGTTAGTCCTTGGCCCTAACAGAGACAGGCAGAAGGCTCAAGGCCTGGCTGATAGCTCTGAGGGATGGCTACCACATGGCCCTGGGAACAGTAAGGCTGCCCTATTGCCTATAGTAATGACACCTTATTCCCCTTTATAGTACACTACATTTGACCAGAGCCCTATGGTTAGTGCACTATAGGGAATAGGCTACCATTTAGGACACATGGTTACGTATCCCCACCGCTGTGCTGTGTGACTGAAGAGTGTTTGTGTGGATTTATCTCCATGTTGACAGAGATGGAGAAGCAGATGAAGATTGAGAACCTGTTTGTGACTTGGCAGCAGAGGTCAGCGCAGTCCAACATGCCCATCTCAGTAAGTACCTATCTACCACAACCGTTTTACATTTACATCACATTTACATTTGAGTAATTTAGCAGACGCTCTTATCCAGAGTTACTTATAGTAGTGAGGGCATACATTTTCATACTTTTTCGTACTGGTCCCTTGTGGGAATCGAACACACAACCCTGGCGTTGCAAGCGCCATGCTTTACGAAATGAGCCACGCGGCACCCTCCATTTTAGCCATTTCCATCCCCATGAAACGCCTATGGACACACACACACAAACACACACACACACACGTGCGCACGTGCAAACACACACAACACGGTAAACGACTCTAGTGAGGAGAAATATCCGCTGCCCTCTGTCTGACAATCGGAGCTATCTACACTATATATACAAAAGTATGTGGACACCCCTTCAAATTAGTGGATTCTGCTACTTCAGCCACACCTGTTGCTGACAGGTGTATAAAATCGAGCACACTGCCATGCAATCTCCATAGGCAAATATTGGCATTAGAATGGCCTTACTGAAGAACTAGGTGACTTTCAACGTGGCACCGTCATAGGATGCCACCTTTCCAACAAGTCAGTTCGTCAAATTTCTGCCCTGCTAGAGCTGTCCCGGTCAACTGTAAGTGCTGTTTTTGTAAAGTGGAAACGTCTAGGAGCAACAACAGCTCAGCCGCGAAGTGGTAGGCCACACAAGCTCACAGAACGGGACCACCGAGTGCTGAAGCGCGTAGGGTGTAAAAATTGTCTGTCATCGGTTGCAACACTCACTACCGAGTTCCAAACTGCCTCTGGAAGCAACGTCAGCACAATAACTGTTCGTCGGGAGCAACATGAAATGGGTTTCCATGGCTGAGGGTCGGCTGGAGTGATGTAAAGCTTGCCGCCATTGGACTCTGGAGCAGTGGAAACGTGTTCTCTGGAGTGATGAATCACGCTTCACCATCTGGCAGTCCGACAGACGAATCTGGGTTTGGCGGATGCCAAGAGAACGCTTCCTGCCCGAATGCATAGTGCCAACTGTAAAGTTTGGTGGAGGAGGAATAAATAAATAAATAAATAATATGCCATTTAGCAGACGCTTTTATCCAAAGCGACTTAGTCATATAATGGTCTAGGGCTGTTTTTCATGGTTCAGGCTAGGCCCCTTCGTTCCAGTGAAGGGAATCTTAACGCTACAGCATACAATGACATTCTAGACGATTCTGTGCTTCCAACTTTGTGGCAACAGTTTGGGGAAGGCCCTTTCCTGTTTCAGCATGACAATGTCCCCGTGCACAAAGTAAAGTCCAGATAGAAATGGTTTGTCGAGACCGGTGTGGAAGAACTTGACTGGCCTGCACAGAGCCCTGACCTCAACCTCATGGAACACCTTTGGGATGAATTGGAACGCCGACTGCGAGCCAGGCCTAATTGTCCAACATCAGTGCCCGACCTCACCAATGCTCTTGTGGCTGAATGGAAGCAAGTCCCCCCAGCAATGTTCCAACATCTAGTGGAAAGCCTTCCCGGAATAATATAAGCTGTTATAGCAGCAAAAGGGGTACCAACTCTATATTAATGCCCATGATTTTGTAATGAGATGTTCGACGAGCAGGTGTCCACATACGTTTGCAAATCATGGAGTTCACACATGCTGGCAGAGTATGCACACAGCAACTCAGCAAATGGTATCTCTCCATCTCAAATACATTTACACACATTTGCATGTGGGCGCAAATGGTTGTCTGAACTTGGCTGCTATGCTGTCAGGAAGATGGGGCTTTTATGCGCTGTAGCTAATTGATGTATATTTAACTATTGCCATTTTTAGTATTCTGGGACTTTGGCACAGAGAAGTAAATACAATATTATTTTTAAGTAGTCTCCATTTAAATATTCCAACTAATTTACAAAGTTTGCAAGCTGGAGCATTTGAACAGCTCTTAATGAGAGACAGTAACTCTTGTTAAGTTGATATTCTAGCAGGCATTGTGGGACTGTAGAGTTCATATTTGTGTAGGTAACCTGGGACTCACGAGCACAAGCCCACCAGTGGTTTCATCAGAGGCACTGCAGCTATAGACAGGCAGCTAGGGCTAGCACAGTAATCATATAATCATGACAATTATGGACAATAACCATTTACAAAAAAACTATATTGTCATAATCGTCTTAGTTCATTCATTTTAGGTGAAGGGGATTTAGCTTTATATTCAAGTAGATATACTTACACTTTTGACATGAATAGGGTAAGGTTTTAAGAGCAGAACAGCACGGTTGGAGGAGAGGCTTAGTTTCCAAAAGTTTCGTTTTTGAGACAGGGGTGTCACCAAAGCTGTGTTGTATTCATTAGGTATATTGCAGCGAATTTTCAAAGATGCATGACAATGCCGTGTCCATTTGCATGACCATTAATCGTTACCCAAAATTCCATAATCGTCACAGACAGCACATCTCTGGAACACACCGGCATATCAATAGAAAAATCAAGTGTGTTTGACATTCGTTCATGTTTTTGAAACACTACACTAATTTCACAAAAATGCAATGTGGTGGGGGTGTTTCCCTGCCTACCTTCATCATAAAAGGAAGACTGACGAAAACAACAGTTTCTTTCATGCCTAAATAACTGCTGGTTACAGTAGAAACAGTAACAAAAAAACACCACCAGTAGGCCTCATGTCACTCTCACACACTAGTCAGTCCCAATTAGACTCAGTCTATTGAGCTAGTGCCTGATGATGACATTATCTGTGTTCCCTGTGTGTGCTCCTGCTCCTTCTCTCAGTATGGTACCCCTCACCAGAGCAGGCTCATCCATTAATGCCCAGTCAGACGGCAGGCTTGCCTAAGGGGACCCCTCTCCCTTCGCTGGCCCCTTAGGTCTCCTCAGATCCGCCTGCCGGCCCACCTGTGGATTCCTGACTCCATCCCTGACATGATGGATTAGATATGAGAGGAGATCACATCAGCTCAACATACAGTGTTGTGTTCTGTCTCCCCCTCCCTCATATATCACACACACACACAGACACACACACACACACACACACACACACACACACACAGAGACACACACACACACACACAGAGACACACACACACACAGTCCTATCTCCATCTCCATCTCCAGGCTGCACAGGAAAGATAGATGATAGACGTGTCAATGAGAGTGATTTATAAGAGAGCAACAGATTAATGACTGGATAAAATGAGCCGTAACATTTTACCAGTCAGATTCCTCTGTACTACGCCCATTAGCTGCATTGTCGGCATAATGTTTAGTAGACGGTTTGATTGTGTCATTAGAAAAACCGGTCATTGATCTCAATGGTTGTGATGGTGGGTAGGTGGCTGTGTGTGTGTTGGTTGTGTGTGTGTGTGTGTGTGTGTGTGTGTGTGTGTGTGCGTGTGTGTGTGTGTTACAGTCTGTGTATTAACATTCTTGGGCTTTTGGTATACACTACCGGTCAAAAGTTTTAGAACACCTACTCATTCAAGGGTTTTTCTTTATTTTTACTATTTTCTACATTGTAGAGTAATAGCAAAGACATCAAAACTATGAAATAACACATATGGAATCATGTAGTAACCAAAGAAGTGTTAAGCAAATCAAAATGTATGTTATATTTGAGATTCTTCAAATAGCCACCGTTTGCCTTGATGACAGCTTTGCACACTCTTGGCATTCTCTCAACCAGCTTCATGTGGTAGTCACCTGGAAAGCATTTCAATTAACAGGTGTACATTCTTAATAGTTAATTTGTGGAATGTCTTTCCTTCTTAGTGCGTTTCAGCCAATCAGTTGTGTTGTGACAAGGTATGGGGGAGGTATACAGAAAAAAGCCCAATTTGGTAAAAGACCAAGTCCATATTATGGCAAGAACAGCTCAAATAAGCAAAGAGAAACGGCAGTCCATCATTACTTTAAGACATGAAGGTCAGTCTATCCGGAAAATTTCAAGAACTTTTAAAATTTCTTCAAGTGCAGTCGCAAAAACCATCAAGCGCTATGATGAAACTGGCTCTCATGAGGACCGCCACAGGAATGGAAAACCCAGAGTTACCTCTGCTGCAGAGGATAAGTTCATTAGAGTTACCAGCCTCAGAAATTGCAGCCCAAATAAATGCTTCACAGAGTTCAAGTAACAGACACATCTCAACATCAACTGTTCAGAGGAGTGTGTGAATCAGGCCTTCATGGTCGAATTGCTGCAAAGAAACCACTACTAAAGGATACCAATAAGAAGAAGAGACTTACTTGGGCCAAGAAACACGAGCAATGGACATTAGACCGGTGGAAATGTGTCCTTTGGTCTGGAGTCCAAATTGGAGATTTTTTGTTCCAACCGCCGTGTCTTTGTGAGATGTGGTGTGGATGAACAGATGATCTCCGCGTGTTTAGTTCCCACCGTAAAGCATGGAGGAGGAGGTGTTATGGTGTGGGGGTGCTTTGCTGGTGACACTGTCTTTGATCTATTTAGAATTCAAGGCACACTTAATCAGCATGACTACGACAGCATTCTGCAGCGATATGCTATCCCATCTGGTTTGGGCATAGTGGGACTATCATTTGTTTTTCAACAGGACAATGACCCAACACACCTCCAGGCTGTGTAAGAGGTATTTTACAGAGAAGGAGAGTGATGGAGTGCTGCATCAGAGATCACCTGGCCTCCACAATCCCCCGACCTCAACCAAATTGAGATGGTTTGGGATGAGTCGGACCACAGAGTGCAGGAAAAGCAGCCAACAAGTGCTCAGCATATGTGGGAACTCCTTCAAGACTGTTGGAAAAGCATTCCAGGTGAAGCTGGTTGAGAGAATGCCAAGAGTGTGCAAAGCTGTCATCAAGGCAAAGGGTGGCTACTTTGAATAATCTCAAATATAAAACATATTTTGATTTGTTTAACACTTTTTGGATTACTACCTAATTCCATATGTGTTATTTCATAGTTTTGATGTCTTCACTATTATTCTACAATGTAGAAAATAGTAAAAATAAAGAAAAACCCTTGAATGAGTAGGTGTTCTAAAACTTTTGACCGGTAGTGTATATACTAGAAGAATTCACATTCGACTCGAAGACCATGAAGAGATGTTTCCTTACTTTCCACAGGTGGTGGACTTGGACACTCTGAAGCAGTCGTCCAGGCTAGTGCACTATTGTGCCACCCCTCTGCTCTTTGATCCCGTGTTCAGGAAGCAGATCCAAGAAGAGCAGATTGTCCAACCTCAACAGGTCAAGGTACAGCAACCGTGGCTTCTTTCCCTTGGGGCCTAACTCCAACACACAATCTCCTCATATGGTTTTTCACTTCTCTCTTACTTAGAAAGATGCCCTTAGTTGCAAAATTTTGGAAACCATACGTTTTTCAGAAATCCTGGTTGTATCCTTTCTGGAATCAGGAGGGAACAAGCAGCAATCATCCAACAATCTTTCAAGCAGAACCTCTGAAAAACCTGGTATTTTGCAACTCTAAACAACGATGGTCACAGTTTGATGAAACACCCCAGTTCACCCCTCCGCCCCCCCCCCCCCCCCCCCCCCCCCCCCATCTCCCCCCCCTCTTCAGAAGCGTCATTGCTCCAGTGACTCCACGGCGTCTGGCAGGGACCGTAGCTACAGTACAGACTCAGCTGATATGCTGCCCAGCCGGCTGAGAGAGGAGCCCTGGCTGCAGGACATCTCTAACACCTTCCTCCAGCAGTATGTCCAGTACCTCCAGAGTATGGGCTTCATTCTGGTCCAGGTCCGGCCACAGTCCCCCGGACGCAGGTACGTCTTGTCTCACTGAGAGTCCAGTGGTCCTCAAAAGTTGTACACACTATTCAAGTAACCTATCTTTCTACACCATACTAGCTCAAGTTTCAAGTGTATTTACCATGTGTAATGATTACATTGGAAAACTAACTCACCCGATCTCTCACAATAAAAACACAATTGAAAATGCAATAAATGTCCTTTTTCTCTGAGTTTCCCTCCCACGATCCTCTCTGTGACAGTGAGTAGAACTGTGAGCAGTATTCATTCATCCATTAGTCATCAGATGTGTTGTGATCACATCCTAGCCCTCAATAGCCACATCCCTCTGGCCACAGATGTGATATAACTGTAACAGACACTGGGCAGATGCTGTTTCTGCCTCTCTCGGTCTCTGTCATCCTCTGGCCCAGGACTGGTTGATTCACTCTGTTGTGTTGCCAGTCTCTGGGGGTCTGTGGCCCATGCTGAAAGGAGCATGCACACACACTCTCTCTCTCTGTGGTCTCTCCTGCTCTGCCTAACCCCTAACCCTGCCTGTCTCTCCTCTCCTCCCTGTAGCACCGCCAGGGCCCGGGCAGCCATGCTCAGCTCACTCTCGTCAGAGAGGCAGTCCTTCTCCTATAACAAGGCCAGGAGTGAGGACAGCCCAAAGGTGAGTAGTGTTGATGCAAGAGATGAGGATATTCGCATACACTTACACACACACTTTTTCTGACTGAAAGGTATAGAGGGATATCAATTTCAATCAATCAATTTTATTTTATATAGCCCTTCGTACATCAGCTAATATCTCGAAGTGCTGTACAGAAACCCAGCCTAAAACCCCAAACAGCTAGTAATGCAGGTGTAGAAGCACGGTGGCTAGGAAAAACTCCCTAGAAAGGCCAAAACCTAGGAAGAAACCTAGAGAGGAACCAGGCTATGAGGGGTGGCCAGTCCTCTTCTGGCTGTGCCGGGTGGAGGTTATAACAGAACCATGCCAAGATGTTCAAAAATGTTCATAAGTGACAAGCATGGTCAAATAATAATCAGGAATAAATCTCAGTTGGCTTTTCATAGCCGATCATTAAGAGTTGAAAACAGCAGGTCTGGGACAGGTAGGGGTTCCATAACCGCAGGCAGAACAGTTGAAACTGGAATAGCAGCAAGGCCAGGCGGACTGGGGACAGCAAGGAGTAACCACGGCCGGTAGTCCCGACGTATGGTCCTAGGGCTCAGGTCTCTCAGTTGGCTTTTCATAGCCGATCATTAAGAGTTGAAAACAGCAGGTCTGGGACAGGTAGGGGTTTCGTAACCGCAGGCAGAACAGTTGAAACTGGAATAGCAGCAAGGCCAGGCGGACTGGGGACAGCAAGGTGTCAGCATGCCCGGTATTGACTCTTACTCTCTTACTCTCTCTTTCTCTCTCTCTTTCTCTGCCTCTCTCTCTTTCTCTGCCTCTCTCTCTCTCTCTCTTTCGCTGCCTCTCTCTCTCTCTCTCTCTCTCTCTCTCTCTCTCTCTCTCTCTCTCCTCTCTCTCTCTCTCTCTCTCTCTCTCTCTCTCTCTCTCTCTCTCTCTCTCTCTCTCTCTCTCTCTCACACACACAATTCCCTCCATCATCAACTCTTGAGATACTGTTGTATTTCTCTGCAGAGCACAGGGTCGGGCACCACCGCTTACCACCTCCAGCGGGCGCTGCCAGGGGGCATCGTACTGATGGAGCTGGCCTTCCAGGTGAGACTGTTGCCTACAGACCTCCTCCACCCCTCTCTATATATTATACCTCCACCTCTCTCTGTCTCTCTCCCTCTTTCTTTCTCTCTCCCTCTATCTCTTTCTCTCTCACTCCATATTACACCTCCACCCCTCCTACTCCATATTAGCTTAACATGGGCCTCTGGTTTAAATGTGTGATCATTGTGTGCAGTCTGACTCAAGGCCTTAAAGATAGAAGAAGTGAGGTGAGGTGAACTGTCTTTTCCTAATGAGTATTTTGTGTCTCATCATTCTCAGTGTAGGAGATGTGTTTAGAACAGTTTTAGTCGTTGTAACCACACCACACAATATGCGGTAAAATATGCACAATAAAATCTCTCTCCTCCTTCTCCCTCTCTCTCTCTCTCTCTATCTATCTCTCTATCTCTCTCTCTCTCTTCTCTCTCTCTCCTCTCTCTCTCCTCTCTCTCCTCTCTCTCTCTTTCTCTGCCTATCTCTTTTCTGCCTCTCTCTTTTCTTCTCTCCTCTCTTCTATCTCTTCTCTTCTCTCTCTCTTTCTCTCTCTCTCTCTCTCTCTCTCTCTCTCTCTCTCTCTCTCTCTCTCTCTCTCTCTCTCGCTCTGTCTCTCTCTCAGGGTTGTTACTTCTGTGTGAAGCAGTATGCTTTGGAGTGCTCCCGCATCCCCATGGGGCAGACCGTCAACTCTCAGGTAACATTATGGCGTCTCTATCGCTGGTGCTGTGAGTTAGACCACAGAGCCAGGGCCAAATTAACCAGACCATAGCCTCTTCTAGGTAAACCTGGGGCTGGGGAAAGAGGGATGAATAGAGCGAGAGGGAGGGAGTGAGACATTTGATCTCGTAAACAGCTTGATTCCACAAATCTCTGGAAACATTGTCTTGACTTTATACCCCCCTGGCTATTAGGAGTCTAATGGCACACATATCAGTAGGCCTATAGGCTATGCCTGTGCTGTGTTGTAGGCCTGCCTCTTTAAAAACGGTCATCTTAATTGGCGCAACCATGAACTAGTTCTGTACGATGGCGAGTGGTGGGGTCGATAAACCAGAATTGGAGGATCCTCCATCATCGTTTCAATCTTCAGTTTGGCAACATTTTGGCTTCCCAGTAGATTACAACAGTATGTCGCCACGCTCAACGAGAATAGGCTATGCATCTTCAAACACCTCAAATATGTTGACACATTTATGCCGACATCACACCAGTATACCAGAGCAAGACGGAAATGCAAAGAAACAACATCGTCTCCTCTCTGCATTCAAGCAGCCCTTGGCAGCTGATTTTGACCAGGCCAAATAAGTTCTAAGAGTGATAGATAGGCTTTATATTTTTTACAGTCTTTCGTTTATAGCCGCGAATATGCACCCATTCTCGGTGGTTGAGAATAGGGGGTTTCAGTACGTTGTGAAGATGCTCGAGCCACGTTCCGAACTTCCTTCTTGCACCCATTTCAGCAAACAAGTAGTACACGCTCTATATAAGCAAACCAAAGCCAACGTTTTCAATGAATTTCACAGTGACAGCCCATCACATTACCCGGAGTGGGAGATGTACCGTGCTACAGACATGCCCCCTTTATGAGAGTCACAAGTACGCATCTGGCACTGAAGGAGGCAGTGTCGTGGTGCATTCGTAACCAAGTGAGAAGTGGGTATTTACAACATACGACTGGGAAAAACCCACTTGAACAGCCCTCAAACTGGTAATTACTAGTGGGAAACTCGTCTATCATCCTGAGCACCCACTTCTCGATAACAGCATTTTCGGCAGTTAAATGCAACAACAAAACATGATTTTATAAAAATATCTATATACAAGCATGATAACTGTACTTTTAATTTATGGTTGACAGCTTGTTGGCCATTAGCCAATCGCCATTTCTCATATGAGTTTAAATCACATGAATGTGTCCAACTGGTATTTACGACTTCACAACTGGTCAATTCCACCTCCTACATGGTTACAAACGCAGCATCAGAGTTGAAACTTGAGAGGCCCAACATAACAATCTGGTCACAACAGACAATGCAAGGAACATTGTGAATGCTGAATGAACATTGTGAATGGCATTTCATTTTCCTGGTGTACCGAAACCGAACCGAACCATGACCCCAAAAACCGCAATACTTACCGAACCGTGGGTTTTGTGAACGGTTACACCCCTACAGGCTATGGTGTAATTAATTGGAGTCTGTCTTCCCCCCTCTTTCTCTCTCCCTCTTGTTCTCCCTCCCCCCTTCCCTCTCTAGTCCTCCCCCCTCTGTTCCTCCCACCCCCCCCCCCTTATCTATCTCCTAGGACTCACAGTTGACTCTCAGGTTCACTCTCTCCCTTCCTCTCTCTCTCTCCCACCCTCTCTCGCTTCTCCTTCTCCTCCCCCCCTCGTCTCTCACTCAAGTACTCTCCACAACTCTCTCTCTCTCTCTCTCTCTCTCTCTCCCACCCTCTCTCTCTCTCTCTCCCACCCTCTCTCGCTCTCTCTTTCCCTCTGTATGTAAAGCTGGAGTGTATCCAGGTTTTGCCATAAACTAGGTGTAATTCAGTGTAAAGGTGTGTAAATGAATGCTGTGTGTTTGCTGAGTGTCTCCAGATGTCTCTCTGCTGGTAGTGAGGGAAAGCCCCAACAGGTGCCTCTCTTCAGCAGCTGGCCATCTACAACTATTAAGACATCTCAAGTGTTTTTGACGTTTGTTTGTAAATGTGGGTGCTCAAAGCCGGAAGCTATGAAACAATGAAGGATTGGTGTAGTACTAAACTACAGTGGGAAACTCAGTGAAACATTTTTGTTGTTGAAATGACCTACAACTATATTAACAAGAGAGGGGATTTGAAACAGTCTGTCCTCCGTTTCCTTTTTAAGTCAAATTGTCTTATATGAAAGAAATCAGTGGACTCAGTGGAACATAATTTTCACCTCTTTTAGTAAAATTCTTCATAATGATTGCCTGCCGTGTATGGTATTCTGATCTCAGAAATATTCCAGTGCTCAGATATAACCAGTATATTTCAGGCTGGTAATTGCTTTGCCATGTAAACTAATGGGCAGAGTGTAGTGTGTGTGGGGGTGAGTGGCTAGCTACTGCAGCAGCCCACCCACTCTGAACAGAGCTAATGGACTGTGGTGTCTGTGGACTAGGGAGATATGGAGATGGAGCTAGCAGCGGTAGGTCTGTTCTCGACTCTATGCACTAGACTACTGGCTGTGCTCAGCTCGGCGCAGCATACAGAGTACAGACTGACTGGATCTCCTGTGTTGATAGGCTTTTTGTGATAAGCTCTATTTCTCTCTCTCTCTCTCTCTCTCTCGCTCTCTCTCTCTCTCGCGCTCTCTCTCTGTCTCTGTGAGATTACTGTTATTTAATATGATACAGACCGGCAGACAGAGGACCATGTATCAATGTCATCCACACCGTTCTCTCCACACCAGTGTTACTAAATGGCTCAAAGTGATGCACGTTAGTCTGAGTAAACAAACAACTATCTCTTTAATCACTGTAAATAGTTTGTGAAGAGCCATCGCGGTTGCAGAGTTCATCTCGATGCACAGCAGGGTGGCAGACATGTTTGTTAAGCACTGGAGTGGATGAGTGAGAGATTCAGGGGCAGATATGTTTGCCTTTGTGTGTGTGCGTGTGTGGTTTATAATTGGATGCTGTGACCAATCACCCTCAGTTCCCCTCAGTGTTGACTTTTGTATTTGTGGCCTGTCTGACCTGCTCATGCTTGGTGCTCACACACACCCACTAATTTGTCACCTATTGTCATCTCTCTCTTCCATATCACTGTAATCGTATTAATGTGAGTGTGTAGCAACACATTTGTTTGTAGTTGTCTTTGCATGTGTAATAGATCTCAGTATTGTGACAGTTGTCTGTGTCTTTTGCTCTGTTTGTGTTTCTGTCTGTCTTGTTCTGTGTTTGTCCATTTCCTTTCCTTCTCTGTGTGTGTGTGTGTGCGTGTGTGTGTGTGTGTTTTTGTGTCTGTCTAGTCCCATCTCATATCCTCTCTCCATCAGGGCTCCCTCCTCACCAAACCTCTCCGTCTCAAGCCGTTCCCTGACGCCACACCGGTCTCTGACTCTGCGGTATGTCCCAGAACCCTTAGGGGTGGGGTGTCTTCCACCAATCAGGCTCCACCCCCCCCCCCCCTCCCCTCCTCTTCCCTCTGCTTGCTGCCATGGCCCCTGATCTATCTCTATCTACAGTATCCCTCTCTTACTTTCTTTCTCTCTCTTCCTCTTTCTCTCTCTCTTCTTCTCTCTTTCCCTTTCCCTCTTGTGCTGTTTATCTCTCTCCGCCTCTCTCTCTTTCTCCGCCTCTCTCTCTCTCTCTCTCTCTCGCTCTCTCTCTCTCTCTCTCTCTCTCTCTTTCTGTGGAATTGTGATGATAGAGTAGAATCAATCTTAAATGCAGCCTGGTGGAGCTCTTGACTTCCCTACGTGTCTGTTCTGCTGTGACTCTTGGGTTTACCTCAGTCCTCTAGACTCTGTTGTCTTTGGGTTTGCCTGACTCCTGTCTCAATCTACATCTCCATCTTACTGCTGGGGCAAACAGGCCTGGGCGATGCTGTGCTGTGATTCACTGTCTGTCTGTGGGTTATTGTGGCCCTCCCTCTGAGATCCTTCTGTATCAGTCTGTGTTGTCATGCAGCTGGTGAATAAACTAGCCTAAATGCTGCTTTTTCTGCAGAATGCCTACTGTTACTGTCTTTTCTTCTGTCTTTTTTATATAGCTGAAATCTGGAATGAGCAATCTTCTCACGTCCATCAAGTCTTCAAGCATCTGTCTGTGATTTATTTTAGTACATTTAGTAGTTGAAACTTCATGTCACCTCGTGTGGGGTTTGCGGATTGGTGACCCATTGGTCCAAGGATCTGGGATCTTCTTCTTCAAGGCTTCTGATAGGCTAGAGTCAAGGCCCTGTCTGGCCCCGCCTTCCTTTCGGTCTTTCTCTACTTCAATCAACTCGTATGTGATTTCTCTTTTTTCCCCTTCACTCGGATGGCCTCGTATAAATAAGAATCCTCTCGTGATCTTTTTTGATTCAAACTCATAGAAATAACACATATAGAATCATTCGGAAGTAACCAAAGAAGGATGTAAGCAAATCAAAATGTATGTTATATTTGAAGATCTTCAAATGAGGCCACCCGTTTAGCCCTTGATAGACAGACTTTTTGCACACTCGGCCATTCTCTAACAGCTATTCATTAGCTGTAGTCACTGAGAAAGCATTTCAATTAACAGGTTGTACATTCTTAATAGTTAATTGTGAATGTCTTCTATCTTAGCTGCCCATGTTTCAGCCAATACAGTATGTCGTTGTTGTGACAATGCGTATGAGGGGAGAGGTCAGGATGTGGTATTATTATACAGAAAAAAAGCCCCAATATTGGTAAAGACCAAGTCCATTGTAGATGGCAAGAACAGCTCAAAATAAGCCCCCAAAGTAGAACGAAACGGCAGTCCATCATTACTTGTAAGACATTGAGCCCGTCAGTCTATCCGGAAATTTCAAGAACTTTTAAAAATTTCTTCCAAGCTGCCAGTCGCCAACAAAAACCACAAGCCGCCGATGCTGTCGGGAAATGGCTCTTGAGGCAGCCACCGCCCACTAGAATGCGAAAACCCCAGAGACTCCAGAGGTTTGTTACCTCTCGCTGCAGGAGAGATAATAAGGTTTCATCTAGACGCCTATACCCGCCATCAGAAATTGCAGCCAAATAAATGCCCTTCACAGAAGTGCCCTTCAAGTAACAGACACATATTAACATCAACTGTTCTAGAGGAGTGTGTCGAATCAGGCCTTCATGCCCGTCGAATTGCTTGCAAAGGAACCACTACTAAAGGCATACTTAATAAGAAGGAAAGAGAGAATGAGACTTAGTGGGCCCAAGAACACGAGCCAATGGACATTTAGAACGGTGGAATGTTGTACTTATGGTCTGAGTCAAATTGGATGATTTTTTGTTTCCAACCGCCGCTGTCTTTGTGAGATGCTGGGTGTGGTCTATGAACAGATGATCTCGCGTTTTTAGTTCCCACCGTAAAAGCACCATGGAGCGAGGATGGTGTTAGTCGCGCAACTGGAGGGGCTGCCTTTGCCTGGATAGACAATGTCTTTGATCTATTTAGCAATCAAGGCCACACTTAATCAGCATGACTACGACAGCATTCTGACAGCGATTATGTATCCCATATAGTTTGGCGCCATAGTGGGACTATCAATCTGCTTTTTCAACAGACAATGACACCCAAGCCACACCTCCAGGCTGTGTAAGTTGTAAGAGGTATTTTTACAGGAGAAGGCAGCACGTGATGCAGAATGTGATAGGTGATGATACATGAGCTGACCTGCATCAGAGATCACCTGCCTCCACAATCCCCCGAGACCTCAACCAAATATTCGAGAGAGGTTTGCGGATTGAGTACAGCGACCACAGAAGTCTGCCAGAAAAGCAAGAAGCCAGCCAACAAGACTGAATCAGCATATGGCGAGCCGCAACTCTCAAGCACTCGATCGGCGGATATGAGAAAAGCATTCCATGCCCTGTGAAGCGGTTAGAGGAATGCCAGAGTGATGCAAAGCTGTCATCAAGGCCCAAAGCGGTGAGCTACTTTGAATAATATAAATATAAAACAGAATTTTGAATTGTTTAACACTTTTAGGGTATTACTATACCTAATATCCATAGGTTAATTTACAATAGTTTTGCAGTCTTCACATTATTCTACCTTTAGAAAATAGGTAAGAAAATTTAGTATAAAATAAGCGCAAAAACCCTATGAATGAGCCTACGTGGTTAGTGCATTACTAAAACCTTTTGACCTGGTTATTATATTAGTGTATTATACTAGAGAATTCACATTCACCTCGAAGGACCATTGAAGAGATAGTGTGATTTCCTTACTTCCACAATGGTGCCGATGGACTGATGGACACTCTGAAGAGTACAGATACCCAGGCTTTTAGTCTGCACTATTGATGCCACAGCCTCATGCTCTGTTGATCCAGCTGTTGGTGTTCAGGCAAGCCAGATCCCAAGGAAGAGACCAGTTTGTCTCACTCAACAGGGCGTCATAATAGACGTTTCTTTCATTATACAGTCAACCGTGTGCTTAATTTCCGCTTGCTTTTTCGCGGCCCACTCAACACACAATCTCCTATATGAGTTTATTCACTTCGTCTCTGAATTAGAAAGATATGACCCTCGTAGTTAGCAAAATTTTGCGAACCATACAGTTTTCAGAAGCCTATGACGTTGTATCACCTTTCGTAGAATCAACGAGAGGGAACAAGCAGCCAATCATACAACAATATTTCAAGCAGACGAACCTCTGAAAAACCTCGGTATTTTATGCAACTCTAATACAACGATATGCGTCACAGTTTGATGAAACACCCAAGAGGGAAAAAGAGAAGAAAAAAAAATAAAGACAAACCCCAAACAAATCAGAAAAAAACAGTAAAAAAACACAAACAACCACACAACGACCAAACCACTTACAACCCCACGACCCGCCCACCCCCAAACTCGACTCACCCCCACCCATAGACCCCCATCTTCAAGAAAGCGTCATTGCCCTAACCAGTGACTCCACTGGCGTCTGGCAGGGACAGTATGCTACAGTACTGACTACAGACTGATATGCTGCACCCAGCCGCGCCCTGACGAGAGGAGACCCCATGGCCTGCCAGACGATCTCTAACACCTTCCTCCAGCAGCAGTATGTCCTAGCTACCTCATGCAGATAATGCGGCATTCATTACTGCCCCGATCCAGAGTCCGCGCCCACAGTCCCCGGACGCAAGGTGCCTACGGCTTACTGTCTACACTGAGAGTCCAGATGGGGATGGCCGTCCTCAAAAGTTGTACACACTATTCCAAGATACCTATCTTTTTACTACACATACTAGCTCAAGTTTCATAAGTGTATCGTACCAGTAGTGTAATGATACCATTGACAACGAGAACAACCTCACCCGATCTCTCACAATAAAGCACAATTGAAAAATGCAAGAAAGTACCTTTTTCTCTGAGTTTCCTCCACGATCCTCTCTGTGACAGCTGAGTCAGAACTAGCTGATGACAGTATTCCTTCATCCATTAGTCACAGAAGGTGTTAGTGCCATCACATCCCTAGCCCCAATAGCCCACATCCCTTCTAGGCCCAGATGTGATATAACTTGTAACAGAAGTACTGGGCCAGCAGATGCTGTCTTCTGCACCCTCTCTCGGCTCTCATGCTCATTCCTTTGGCCCCAAGGACTAGCGTTAAGGATGATTCACTCGTTGTGTTGCCAGTCATCTGCAGGGCCCGATCTTGGTGTGCTTGGCCATTAGCTGAAAGGAGCCCATGCCAACAAACTCTCTCTCTCTGTGCGTCTTCTATCTGACTATGCCTAACCACCCCTAACCAGTAGCCTGATACTACCCTACTCCTCCCTTGTTAAGCAACCGACATGTCAGGACATCAGACGAGCAAGAAAACTCAGGGCCAGACCAAATCAGCCCATGCTCAGCATTTTAAATGATTAAAGGAGAAAAAAGCAAATAAACAAGGAAACAAACCTGATTCCTTACCGCGGAACGACTGAAAGTAAGAGAAATTAGGGAAAAGGACATAGCACAAATTAGTACATTCATTGACTATTATTGTGTACCTCATACCACCGGGGGGGGCGGTGCCCCTCCAGGGCGCTCGGCACACGCCATTGCCTCAGCCTCACTCCTCTCAGAGAGGGAAGCTGGCAGTCCTTATATCCTATAACAGGCCAGGACGTGCAGGACAGCCCCAAAGGCAGTAGTAGGGTTGTGAGGGCAAGAGATGAGCGCATATTCGCATACACTTATAACACACACTTTTTCTGACTAGAAAGGCTATAGAGGCGATATATATCAATTTCTAAATCAATCAATTTTATGTTGATTTATAGCCCTTTCAGCATACATCAGCACTAATTATACTCGAAGTGCTGTCAGAAACCCATGCTCTAAAACCCAACAGCTAGTAATAGCAGGTATTGTTATGTAGAAAGCACCGGAGTGGCATAAGGCAAAAAACCTCCCTACGAAAGGCC